TTTCCCCAATGTTCATCGGAGAATTTCCCCTTACTGGAGGTGGCAACAGCGCAAGAAGCTACCTTCAGCTATCACACACCCCAGCCAGTTATGAATCCGGCATCAAGTTGGCGCGATATTGTGCTACCGTTCGAGTTTTGAGTGGGAATAATAAAAAGTTGAAGTAGGCGACGACCGAGGTGTAACGTGTAGTTGAAAGGATGGAAACAATCGTGTTGCTCAAGTAAGATTGCTTGATGTATTTGATGTGCTTTTCATTCATAAAAACGAGCGACAGTGTAACTGAAGCAGCGTAATTATTATCGTATAACGTGAAAGGCGGGTAATCCTGCTCTTTGTTTTGATTTTGGATTATTTATCAATGATTTAAAGATTTTGAAAAAAATAACGGTTCTTGTATGATGTGCTTTTTTGTATTAATTATATTAATTTTGTTTCTGCTAATTACCTATTAATATTGTCAATACTAAGACAATCTTCGAAACTTAGTTTTGATTTTTTTATGAAAATGCGTGTGTCCTCTAATAATGATAATTTTTTCTTTTGCCCTGTACACATGCTAGGTAGTGTATATTAAACAGGGTTATAATATGATATCTAAATTGTATATTTTAATGAATAAAAAAATTAATATTTGATATTAATTAAGGTTTACCTTCTTTGATTCACTAGGTCCATATCTATTTGGAACAAAAATTAAAATTGTAAATTGTTTTGATTTTTTTTGCGTTTTCTCAGTTCAATAATTTACCAGATGTACCATTATTCAAAAATAACTCAAGGATATATTTTTTTAAATAGTATCCTAACCAATAAAATAAGCACTTTGCATTTTTAACAATTGTATTTTAAATTTAACAGTGTCTTTTGGAGTAATGGTACACCCTGAACATTTCTAATTGACTTGATAACTTGATTTATTTAATAAAACTTTTTTGCAAACCTATCAGAAATAGAAATATTAGCAAGTTACGTTACTTTTTGTACATTTCCAAAGGTGATAACTTCTTTTTGACTGTATATAAATTGATATGAAAATCTGTTTGATGGGCTTAAATCAACTCATTAATTTTACCATATCAAAATTTCTTAAATTTTGTATTTAATTAATTTATTACCCAAAATACATGAATACATGAATAAATGTAAAAGAAAAAAAATTTTTTTACTTCCTCCAAATATTGATACCTGCCATTCCACATCCACTCATATTTACATTTTTAAAGCAAAACAAATGAATTTCAATTAAATCAATTTTAAAATCGAATTATTTAACTCTATTTAAAAAAAAATATCTGTAATTAAGGTAGCAAAAAAAGTCTGGCAACAAGGTATTTTCTTTGAAACCAATGAGTGTATGATTATGAAATTGTAGGGAGATGAATGGAATTATATTCTGCATTTTTTAGATGACATGTCAAATGTGTGTGACATCAAAGTTTGGCCTACCGCTATCATCTTGAAGTTTTTAAGGCAACAAGTGATATGTCAAAGAAAATCTTATTTTTTACTCTATTCAATAATACTAAAAAAATATAATTACTAATGTAATTCAGTCCCATTTGTCAGCCTAAAATACTTTGTTGCTAGACTTTTTCGCTATCCTGTATGAATAGTATGAGAAAAAAACAATAATAACGTAATGCAAACCTATTCCTCACCCTACAATTTCATAATTATTATACATTCATTCGTTTCAATGAATATATCTTCGGGCCAGACTTTTTCTTTACCCCCATATAATGAAATGACATAGCTAACTTAACTTACTCAACAGAAATCCATATTTTATATAAAATGTATCCCAAAATGTATCCCAAATTTAACATCTTCTTAGTATATTATTCAAAAGTTCTTCTGTTCCTGTCACTTTCTTTATATTTATAATACACTCCATTTCTAATGAATTTCTTTCAATTCATTTTCACACATTCTTCACACTATTTCTTTTTATAATCCTATTTACTTTATTATTTATAAATCATAATAATATTATAACTTTTCTTCATAATATAATATACATTTATCATTTATCTTCCTACTTAAACCATTTTCTTTCTCAATATTTTTTACTTTATTTATATTCCAACAATTGTTTTTTTCAAATAGTCTGTTCTTAAACACAAATTCTTTTCTTCTTTAATATTATATTTGTTCATTTTTATTACTTTAATCTTTACGCTTTTTTTTAATTATCTCTAATCTGTATTTTCTTTTATTTTCTAAATATTCCGTAATTTATTTAGCTATTAAGCTCTTAAATTGTGGGCTTACAAGCAAAAAGAACTAAGTCAAAAATTTGTCAAAATGATTTTATATTTTTATGTATCATATAAAAACAGTACATGGTACTCCGAAAGCATGTACATTATCTTTGAAGCAGTTGATAATCCCTAAATAATTTATAAAAAAATTAAAACTTCATTGAAACTTTAAATTGCTTACAACTCATAAATCTATTTTTTTACTTAATGCCTTTTTCTTGTAAGCCCACGAAATTATCCTATACACAATATAATATTTCCTATTTCCAGTTTATTTTCCATATTCTATTCTCATTCTGATTTTCACGTTCTCCCGCCCACCTTCTTAAATTTTTATCTTCTTTTTGACATTGATCCTCACTCTTTATTTTTCCGATAATCTATTTTTAACTATCCTTCTCAACTTCTGTCTCTGTCTTATTTTCGTTTTCTCTGCCTTTCACTTCTTTGTTTGGTACTAATTTTCTTTTTGTTTCCTATCTTTCTTTATTTTCTTAATTACTTTTTCTTAAATAATTCTCCTTTATTTTTTTTACCGTCCTTGTGTCTGCTGTTATCCTATTTGATTTGGTTCCTAATTTCATTTCTTCTTTCTCGATTTCTTATATAATTCTTCAGTTTACTTGTTCCTTTTATTTTGTTTACTAATAAATATTTCTTTCACTATTTCTTCTTTTCAAAGTTGTTCTTTTTTTCTAATATTTCAGTTGTATTATTTTGTAAATTTTCAACCTCTATACTTTTGTCAATCATTCCCACCCTTATATCATTCTTAATCTCTTTTGGTTCGTCATTTATGTAAAATTTAATCACTTCTTTATCTTCTACTTCTTTTATTAATACTTCCAATTTCTTTTCTGTTTTCTTTTCCATCCCATCTAACTTTCGTTCCATTTTTCTTACAAATTTCTTAATTTCTTCTCTATCATCTTCTTCTTCTACATTTTATTGTACATTTCATTCATTATCTTATCCATTTCATTAATTTTCCTACTTATTGTTTCATTGTGTTTCTTCATTTCCTTCATCATTAACGCAAACATTACCCTTTTCTGTATCTATAACGTGTGAAGGGTGGGTTACCCCACAGTAGTTAGGCCTCATTGTGCATCCTTGCTAAGTAGATAGCCACCTCCTAGCTCGTGAACAAGCATACAAATTTAATATAGTTTACAACGTCGCCAAGAAGTGCCTCTCTTATATTGGCCGTTGTTAGCTAAGTCTTGCCAAACACAAATCTTCTAATAAATGAGTGCTTAGGGAAATCGTAGAGGATATGAAGACGCTTCTGTATTTGGCAATGACCATTCAAAATGCATGGGGATCAGACGCAGATTATGTCTAGTCATAGTCAAGTATCTGTTGGCTGTAGTGTTGTCAGGATAACTTAAAAGCTTCCTCGCAAGTCTGCAGCTTCTTGTTTTGTCCCATCTTTCCTTAAATGCTTTTTAACTCTGTTTTATAAGTATAAGTTCCATCTTAACTTGCTGTCAAAGGGGAGATCTAGGTACTTCACTTCTGTTGCAAAATTTAGTTTTATGTTTAGAAGCTCTGGAGGTTTAATTCCATTTTCATCGTTTTCCTTGTGGAAAGAACCATTTCTATCTTCTTAGGATTAATAGGCAGTGAATGAACCTTGCACCACTGTTCTATAATTTTGAGAGCATTCTTTTGCAGAGTATGTTCTTAAAATTCCCTGTTTGCATCTAATATTTTTTTCATCTTCTTTCTTTACTGATTCTTTTGTTCCATAGTACTCAATTCCCGTTGTTCTTCATTTTGATATTTGTTTCTTTAAATTCTTCTATCTGTTTCCACTGTCCTATTCTTTCTCCCACTCCTAAATTCATTGTGACTTTGTTTATTATTTCAATTATTTTTAATTATATTTATTTAATCAAAAAATTTCGAAAGTTTAAATTTTAGCGAAAACGCTAGTTAATAATAATTAAGAAAAATTATTAATTTGACAGTTTAACAGTTCGTCAGTTTGACAGCTCGTCGGTTTGACAGCCTGTCAATTTGACTGCCCCACAGTTTGACAGCTTGTCAATTTAAATGCCCCACATTGGGCGCCAATTGATATAAAAATTTGTATTGCTCTATGATAACCAGCTCAAATAAATAAATTCATTTTTTTATAAAATGAAAATTATTTTTATTAAGTTTTAAATTAGGTTGGCAGAAGAAAAATAAAAATATACCTTTTAATCGCTATATAAATTTCTTAAACTACACTATATTTACCATAGATACTCCCTCTTTGTTTAATCTGATAGAAATTAATAGAATTTGGACCATAAAACAAAATATAAAATGTATTAATTTTACTCCGACTATTTTTCCAACTTCTTCTCCTTCGGCACAACCCTGTCTGCTTGCTACCGATTTCTACTGCTCGATCCAATCATTTGACCATCTCTTATATCCAAACAAAATTTACGAATATTCAAATTGTAAATGACTTTTTATCTTCTATTTATTTCAAACTTATTCTAACAATATTGGATGTTTAAAAAACAAATTCCTCCTCTCACATAATATTTTGCAAAACACCTGACAATATCCTTTCTATCTGACAACCTTCCTAAAAATTTTAAATCTCCCATCAAAATTGAGTTTTCGCCGATTTTTTTTTATTCTTATCAAACAGACCAAACATAGATAAATCAATTTTAACGTAAAAAATTACGTCATTAATTATTTTATCATATCAATATAAGTCAGTTAAATTAACATTTTCAAATTACTATTTCAAAAAATATCTAAAATAGGAAAAAATAAAAATAATAAATCGCAAGGATTTAGGTCTCGTGACCTCGGTGGCCACAGAAAAAAGAAATAAAGAAAGCTGCAGAATTAGTTGAGCGGTTTTAGACAAACCTAAATACTTTTTCTCAAAGTTTATATTAAATTTGATGAGGCTGAAGCTAGTAGACAAAATAGCAGACAAACTAGC